AAAAAAATAGTCTTGTTTAAATCAGTTTTTGAATATATTTTAGTATATTTTGAGTTTACATGTTGTTTATTGTAAACAATTTTACTAGAAAAATAAACCATACATATACACCACAAAACCATAAAAAAAAGCATAAAAGTATATATATAGTTTACAGTAATGCTTCCATACCCACGGTTGACACATGTTAATATGTCCACCGTTTATGTGACATGCATACATTGGTGATGTATTTTTTTTATATATTAACATCACCAATGTGTGCATGCCACATAAGCCGGTGGACATATTAACATGTTCCCACTGTGGGTAGAGGAGCATTACTCATATAGTTTATAACCATATTATAACAAGTTACTTATATTCATTTCATGTCTTGAATGGACATTATATATTGAGTTTATATTTAGTATATATTGCCTATATATACAACATATTTTGAACATATATTCTATATACACACATTATATAATATCTGTCTATACACGCAATATATACTGATGTGAAAATATAATGTTCTTTGATACAATTCAAAACTGTTCTTTGTATATTTTAAAGAAATAGGTTTCAACTCAATCAACTCAGTAGGTTTCGCCGCCATAACCACCACCACGTTCACCGCTGTAGCCACCCTCCCGGCGTCCTCCATACCCACCACCATAGTTTTCACCGTTGTACCTACCCTCACGACGGTCGTCGTAACCTCCGTCGTTCCCTCCCTCCATACCCACAACCATCACGGCGAGGACTACCACGGAAACCCCCACCTTCTCCGCCGTCATCACCGCCGCGGGACTGAGCCTCATTCACGGTGATGTTCCGCCCGTCGAGCTCCTGGCCGTTCATGGGTTTGATCGCGTCCCTCATCGCCTTTTCGTCACCGAAAGTAACGAATATGAAACCCCTTGATCTACCAGTCTCCCGATCAATGACAATCTGAAATCCCCACAAACAAAAAAATTGTGCACAAAAAATCAGATCAGCAATTCCCAGAAACAAAAAAAAAATTGTGAACTAAAAATCAGACCAACTACACCAAACATCAGATCGAACAAATACACAAAAATTAATCGATGATTCAATCTTCAACCCTCTAGTTAAAAAGAAGGTTGAAGATCAGCAATAAACGATGATTTAGATTAGCAATTCCTATTTTTTAGGTAAGCGCATCTCTAATTTCAAATAAGTATCTCATTAGCATTAATGTGCAGATAAAAAGGTAATAACGGTTAAATAATGTATGTTAGGTATAACTGAAATATTTTTAGCTTCTTTATTTAATTTTATAAATAAGAATATAAGGGGTGCAAAAGCGTTATATAAATTAAATATGTTAGTATGAAGTATAAATTCCTCAAAAAAAAAAATTACAAAAGTTATGGATTATAGAAATTGTAAAAATGTTAATCTTCCAACTTATGTAAAACTTTTAAAAAATAAAAAAGGATGGATAATTGATCAAAAATAATAATTTCACTTTAAATAAAAAATTAAAAGAAAGCTACAAACAGTTCAAACTTTAAATAAAATGTGCTTTACTTTTGATTTTTCACATTAAAAGAAAGAAGAAACAAAAATATATCTTTAAGAGAAGGTCACACAAGTCAAATAACTACATCACCCCCTACATAGCATAACCTAGTGGTGGGATAAACAACCTACGTCGGGCTTGTAAGCTTCGCGTAGGGGGTTCGAAACCCAAGAGAAGAAACTTGCTATTCATGTGTGATTTTACACCATATTTATATAGTATCTAGAGCTTATTCATTTCATTATTGGTGTATAAATTGCATTATATTGCTTTTATTCTATTCTTGTTGAAAAGGTATTACACGTGCTTGTTTTGTAGATATATCCATATATTTGTAGAGATTTTAGATATTGGAGGCGCATGGTGAGTACCTAAGACCCGCGAGATGATGATAGATTGATGCACGGATGGAAAAAATAGAAGAAACTATTGAAACGAGCAAAAATGAGAGTGCAAATTTGTGACACGGGCAGCAACACATGCACCATGCCCGTGTCGGAGGCCGTGTCACCTTAACAGGGAGAGTTCGAAGCCCAGGGACCTGACACGGGCTGCGACACAATCAAGGACACGGGCAGAGTGGTCGTGTCGCGCAAGCAGGTTGTTTTTTATATCTTGTCTATTTTGAAAAGGAGAAGGCTTTTAGACATTATAAAAGGCATATTTACTTTATTTTGAGGGAGAAGAACGTGAGACACAACGAGTGGAGCCCTAAAATACACAAGAGATCAATTGAGAGGCAAAAAGAAGATCAACTACGAAGGGATCAAGAAGATTGAAAGATCACCGAGATTTCTAGTTTTTCTTTCTTCTTTCTTTTGAACTTTTATTTATCATGTAAGTTTTCAGTATGTCTATGTATTTGAATTCGAACCTGGATGGTTAGTTTATTTAATTCCAAAACTTGGTAGTAGATTAAAATGTTGGATTTTTTATGATTTATTTATAATTAATTGTTTTTTCTTTTGAACTCTATTCAAATATTTTGCTCTTGTTTCATGTTTAGCACTTGGCCAATATTTTTATATGTTCGATAATATTGTCCATAATACGAGAGATGAGTTTAATATTAGGTCTATAATATTTGACATAATTTACTTGCTTGAATCGAGAGGTTAGTAGGTCGTTGTGAGGATATTAGATCTTTTAATCTATTTGGAATTGAATTGCATGTGTTGAGTGGAGACGCTAATACATGTGATTTAATCTCGATCTCGAGAGGGACGATAAGCTAAATTTGTGATCGTCTTATAGGGTAGATAAAGAAAACATTTAGTTCTGATATTTCTGAAGAATCCTAACTGTTAATTGAATCCACAGTCTTGGAATCCCTCATTCCCATACATTTGTCTTACGTGTTCTTTAGTTTATTCCTCGTTCTTGATTTATTTTCTTTGATTATAATTTTTTAGTTCAGTTAATCTATCCATTTTTTTATCGTCTAAAAGACAGTGCGACGGTCGACGACGGAGTAGCGGCGATGACAACTTTGGATGTTGCAGAGATGGAGATAAATAAGTCAAATAACTACATCACCCCCTACGTAGCATAACCTAGTGGTGGGATAAACATGTTACGTCGGGCTTGTAAGCTTCGCGTGGGGGTTTCGAAACCCAAGAGGAGGAACCTGCGGCGAATGTCATGCTGGCAATTTTAACTGTGGCGTTAGGCCTCCTAGGACCCAAGGGTATAAAGTAGGTCAAACTGAGAATTATTTGGGGCACATCCTGGATTTAATCCACAATTTTTTGAAGGGGGCAGGGGCTTGGGGTCCAGGACCGACTGGGGCAGGCTAAAAGACGATGTAAGCCAGAGGATAGCAACTGGAACCTGAAATAAAAAAAAAAAAAAATCTACATCACCACAGTAAACTCAAAACTACAACAAAATAAAGGGCAATCAAAGAAGTTGGAACATGTCTAGAAGAAGAACAAGCAGTTGGAGAAAGTGGAGAAGGTCGAAAAAATATAGAAATCGGCTGGGGAATGAGCTCTAAGGAGGAGGAGAAGAGGTCAAAGAAGATGATGAAGAGCTCATATCCCGGCAGACGGAAGCCCCATCAGAATCACTAGTGGCACGAGAATCTAAAAGAAAATTAAAAAAATGTGGGTGTAAATAGATGGAAAATGAATGTCGGAGCAGATGAATGAAGGACGAAAATTGAAATACAAATCGAACACATGCAATGAAATTACAGAGAGAAAAAAGTACCTACTCAAAGACATAATTGCTTGACAGTTGAAATAGACAGTGCGCGGTTGACGACAGAGTAGTGACGACGACGACTTCCGATGTTGCAGAGATGGAGAGAATCATAGGGAGAGACTTTTTTTGCAGATGTGGAAAGTCTGGAAAATTAGGCAAGGGTTTTATTTATGGGTAAAAGGAAGAAGAAGCATGAGAGGTCGATCAATCCTGCTTGTCGGATCGTGGTCGAAATGGGAGCTCAAGATAAAAAGTGTAAATTGTGTGGGTGGGTCGAGCAATACTATCGGATCAAAGTCAAAATGGACTGATGATATTGAAAAAGGGAGTTGAAAGGACAACCCAATAAGAGTTGTTTGATTAGAGAAGAACCAGACGATCGGACTTAATGCAACTTTTAATGACACACTGCACAAGGACAACAAGGGTGAAGAGGCGGTTGCATCGAAAGGACATTTTGACTGATGTAATATGATAATGACAAGATTTTAATTTCAAAATTTGAGCTCAATACATCAACTGATGATCGAAAACAATGTTTTAAGATTAAATAAAAGAATTCTAAGTGAGGTGGTTGATATGATGAGGTGTAAGCTCAATAAGAGAGACCATAGATAGTCGAATTTACTCTTAGATCGAGTTATCTAACTCGACCAGATTGTGAGAAACTAGACGATCTGGAATAACATACTGGGTCGACTTGACACGAGAAACTAGCTAACTGAACTGGTTGAGCTGGTAGGTCAAACAGATATCGAAGAGTCTTCAGGTCGACGAGGACGCCAAAGATAAAAAGGATCACCGAGTGGTAGAGCTAGGACCCTCATATGACATGGTAGAAACTCGAACTAAATGCATGATTGTTGATGGAAAAGAGTGAACGAGTTTAGCGTGGAAGACTTTTTACCTCATAAAAAGTTGGGTCGGTCGTGCGATTAGATCGAATAACACTGAAGTCTAATGGGTATGAAAAACAATATAATTAAGATAAATACCACAAGTAGATTGGACAACGTGTCCTAATAGAATTGTGCAGTTCGGGCACCCAAGCAATACGAACGGGTAGTTTGGGCAGTTTTGGGCGGCCCATTCAGGTAGTCCTGGACAACAAGGTAATGCCCCTATTGGCCTATATAAAGGGGTGATGTATGTTTGTCTACACTCTACACACTTTTTATACTTACAAAGCTTATATCTATTGTTCATCATATTCTTCATCACTGTAGATTGATGTTATCGTCGAAATGCTAACGTAAGGAACACCTCTCAGTCCATTTAGCAGGTCCTCGAACATGTCATGAAGCAGACATGGGTCGTGCAAATCATATTGAGGTCTTTTTGCACACCATATATGTTGATAGTAAATTATTACAGAGTTCTCGTGTTCATCAATAAAATAATACGAATTTTGCGTTACAGTGGACCAACCCTTGCTTGCTAGATTTGCTTTGCCAGTGCCCATAGTCTACACGGGTTGGCCCGTGCCTCTAAAATCTAACCTGAACCCATTTTGATATGTCAACTTATAATCAATCGTATTTGTAAAATCATTTTTTTCATTATTTTTTTTTCAAACATTTTTCTTTAATAGAAAAAGAAATATCTAACTAAAATTTACCTAATAATACCATGATAAACGTAGCCTAAGGTTGCGTTATTCTAGCGTTTTACACTAGATTTTCGATAAAATTGTCATCCAACACTGCGCTACATCTCCATACTACTCTAAAATTATGAACAATACCGCTCTGCATTTGGCGCGATACTATTTATTACTCTGCATTTTTTTAATTTATTTTTTATTTTTTTATTTTATGTATTTGATTTATCTAAAATTTTATTATTTAACAAATTATGTACCAATAAATTTATAATTTAATAATATGAACATATTCTCTTAAAATTTTTATTTATATTGAATTAGTATAAAATGAATCAAATAATTTTTATTTATATTGAATTAGTATAAAATGAATCAAATAATATACAAAAACAACAATTATTTGTCGATCAATATTTCAAACTAGTAGTGGACTGACTAATATTATAAAAATATTTAGCTAACAAAATAGTATGTTCAATTAAATAATATTTTGGCATGTTATATAAATTAATAATATGAATAATACATATGGGTTAAAAAATAGTGCGAACTATTTGGGATCAAACTTGATTTTGATTTCCTCTACTTGTAAATTATACACCAAGGTAGATATAAAGATTAGGGGTGATTGTTTACAAAATATTTCACATCAAAAAATTTCAACTCAAAATCTAACTCAACTTTAACTCAACCCCATTATCTTTAATATTATTTATATAATTAAATAATACAAACCAATCATTCTTACAAATCACATCAACTTTAATTCACTATTCATCCACTCACATAATTTTAACTACCAATCATTTTCAATCATTTATCTCCTACTTTATATCAAATCAATTTTAATCATTTTATTTTAAATATTATTTTAATATATTTTTAAATCCCACTAATAAATAATCACACTACTTTTTCAACTTTGACCATAGTTAACCAAAATGAAATATTTTGGATGAAATATTTTATAAACAATCATGCCCTAAAGATGTTTAAAGTGACTGGCCATATTATTTTTGGCTCTATATTTTTGCACGCAAATTACACCAATATCCTCACCTTTATTGCAACCAAATCGGTACCGTTGATTGTTATCTTCATCAACGAACCTGTGTGAAGTCCGCCCTCACTAATTTCAACCAATCTGAATAAGCCACCTGTCCAACAATCGTACTGTTCAAAACTCCCCAACTACTACCATCTACACTAATCAACGGTGCAGATCCACACCCTCGTCATTTCAACTCAACCAATCAGATCTCACTTTCTCCTCTGTTTATATTCCAATCCCCTCTCAGTTTTCCCGCCATCGCAAAATTCTCCTCCGCAAATTGTGCAAAAAATAAAAAAAATTCTCCAAATCACAAATCTCAGTTGATTCAATGGCATCAAAGGCAGAAAAGAAGCCCGCCGAGAAAAAGCCAGCAAAGGAGAAGAAGACGGCGGTGGCCGGGAAGGCCCCGGCGGAGAAGAAGCCCAAGGCCGGGAAGAAGGTCCCAAATAAGGACGGCGGCGAGAAGAAGAAGAAGAAGGCGAAGAAAAGTGTGGAGACCTACAAGATCTACATCTTCAAGGTCCTGAAGCAGGTCCACCCCGACATTGGGGTCTCGAGCAAGGCCATGGGCATCATGAATAGCTTTATCAACGACATCTTCGAGAAGCTCGCCCACGAGGCTTTGAGGTTGGCGAGGTACAACAAGAAGCCGACCATCACTTCTAGGGAGATCCAAATGGCGGTGAGGTTGGTGCTACCAGGTGAGCTTGCCAAGCACGCTGTCTCGGAGGGGACTAAGGCCGTCACCAAGTTTACCAGCTCTTAGTGTTTGGTCTTGTCTTTTTATTTTGTTTTTGTGGATTTCTGAATAGATGAAATGGGGCTATGTATTTTTCACTTTATGAGAAAATTGCTAATGAATTGAGTTGGATATATGGGTTATTTTGATAGTAATGAAAGCAAAAGTAGTTTTAAGCAATGAATTTAAGATGTTTAAAGATTAATCAAGATTTTTTTTTTTTATACAATTTGCTGGAATTACAGATTGTTTTGGGGAGACGAATTTCAGCATATCAATCCGACTAAATTTGTTATCGAACCATCCAAAGCTTCGTCTTGCTCCAAAGATGGAGTAATACCAAATGATACAACTCAGGGAACAAAATGATTTAGTTATGCACGATGAATTTGAGCAATATATTTTTACATGAAAGCCTAGTTAAGATGGCAACAGGGATCTTCATTCATTGCATAAGTTGGCAAAAATTGAAGAAAAATATGATGTGGGCAGTAAACTAACCCAGAAGCTCATATTACACTGAAACTCAAAAGAGTATCAACTATGAAGCAATAAATGTAAAGCTACAATCTTTGACCACCATAGCTGTGTATTCGAAACGTATTTAGAACGAAAACGGCCATATGTACTGTAGTAGTCAATGTTACCAAGTGAAACAAATCCTACCCTAATATACACACTTTTTTCCTCTCTTTTGTCGGTATAGCTGTACATGTGTGATTTCAATCGATGTCGGCATGAACATAATCAACAAACACAAAATTCTTCTGAATCTCATTAACAGCATAAGCCAACCCGGCACATAAAATTGCTAATGCCCCCAAAACTATTCGTAATTGCATTTCAGGAGGAATGCCTGATGTCGCGGTTAAAACAACAGCAGCACCAACCAGAATCTTGTGCAGTGTCTGAAAGGAGCCGTACGCATTTCTACATGACGAGCATTTTAGAGTGTGTTGTTCAAATCTATCCAGCATCTGAGAACATGATTGATACGTGAAAAATTATGAAATACCTTATAAAATATTACAACTCTTGTTAAGGGCATGAAAAACCTACCTACATTTGATTGTGTTATGCTCTTGTTAAGCTACATGCTAACAAAAACTCTCAAGTTGCCAAACAAAACGAGTAGAAGAAATTTATTTCTAAGGTACATTGAAACATTGTCCACCATTTAAAAAAAAAAAAAAAAAATATGATGTGACAAATCACCTCAACTTCTCGTTAACCAATCCATTTATTCTCAATTTCTTTATGTTCTAATGATTAATCTCTACTATACTAATCTATTTTCTGTTTCCCCTATTATAGCTTTATCAAAATAAAGTTCCAAAAAATAACATACATGCAAAAGATACGATTACATAACCGAGACAAATTTTCTTCCAAATTTATACCTAAAAATGCATGAGATACAAACTTTCAGGTGTGAACATCTTATTCCTGAAAAAGAGGCTCCTTGCACACACACACACACAAGCACACACGCACCCCAACTTATGAATGCAAGTTAGTATAAGAAATCAGTTATTGTTTCTAATCCCAAACTTTTCATCCCTTACTTCCAATATAAGAATAAATCCCTTCAGTCGCCCATATGTTATTACATATATTATCAAGCAATTCTTCTTACCTGGCGTTTGGACATTGTGGTGGACGGCAAAGGCTGTTGTTTGGTGCTACCAAACCACTCGGGTTGGCTGTTGCCATGCCGCCTCAGCCAATTCCTGAATGCTAGCACAAAACGGTCAGCCTGTGTGGGTGTAAATGTAATTTTGGTGTATTCTTGGTTAACGTCACCCAAGGTTTGGGAGAGAAATATCTTCTCCTGACCCTGGAGCACAATCATGTCCCCATCATACACCTTGTTTGATGTCCAGTGCTCATGCCATCGAGGGACCACCTATTCACCAACCAAATTTCGAAAAAATGGAAATTTCAATAATTATATATTTACGATTACAAAAATGTCAGGCCACATGTACGACTACAAAAATTATCCTAAAGTGTTTTCAGCATAGACAGTTAGTTACTCTGTAAATAAAGAACACATGTCCTTAACCTTGAAGTTTTGCTTACCCTTACTCAACTCAAATAGATTATATACTCAAACATGAGGCATATACACAGCTACAATTGACGTCAATTATAAAAAAACAGATGCAATCATTGTTATAAAAATAAGCAACATGATTTTATTTCTGTTTATGGGCTTTTACGAAATCTACCATAGTACTTGTCTTCAACAATCAGCCTTGGAAAAGGAAAAATAATGTACGATTACCTGCCACCATTTAGGTCCCGGCATAGTGAATTGGAAAAAGTTTCTGGCACTGCAAACAATCGAGCGTGTCTTTCCAGGAGCCATTGGAACATTAAAGGAACAAATCCATATGACCCATTTTTGGTCCCCCACGATTGGAAGCTTTGTATCGATCTCAATCCTGAAAAAAGCATTTACACGGCATAACCCACATTTATGTCTCCTTGAACAATGCACTGGCAGCCAACAAAATATAGAATATAAATAAAAGAAAACAAACAGTACGCCTCATACACAACGATAGAAATCATACATTACCAAATGGAAAACGGATGGATAATATAATATTAGACCCACAATAATATACGATGAAGCACAAAACAAAACCATAAGATAGAGGAACACCATAACCAATGAAATATATGGCTTTGGGATTTGAATTTACAAATTCACACGTTATTTATTTTCCCAGTAGAATCACCTTATAAATATATACTCAAAAGCACAAGGGACCGGGAGACATCAATTTTTCAAACACTTCAACGATAATATACTTTCTAAGGCTAAGAAGGAACAAGTCAATAAATATAGGGTTCCAGAACCTAAATTCACTCAAGTTGAATATTATATGAAAAGTGAAATGCAAGCAACGGATATAACAGACTACCAAGCAACTTAATTCATTAATTATAACCTTACTTATTAATGTAGTAGCATGGTGCAACAAACTTAGCACTTATTCTCGGATTTCCGTCATTTGCACCAGCAAATCCCCAAGACCCGCTACCTTCCATTTTAAAAGGTAAAGGCTTTGCTCTATCTCGTCTGCCTGTAACCTAACAGTGTTTTTATTTGCATGCAATAAGAAACTGGTAGAACGCATAATCGAAAAAGACCAACAAGCATAGTAAAGAAACAGTGTGAATGAACCATTGAACTAAGTCAAAAGTACGGAGAGTATTAGTAAATAAATTCATGTTATAAAAATTCAAAGGGTTTGAGTTTTGTGCATTTGCATCGCTCTAACTATCTACTTGAAATCTAGTTTAAATCCAAAATGATATTGAGAAGTAAATTCTTTCTACAAGTTTCAAGGTTTTTCACATTGTACCTTATGATGTGCAAAGTCAATGTGAGAGGGATCAGACACATTCTCCATGAGCGTATCATATCCATAGTACAAATCACGCTGAATTGTCACAGATGAAAACTCAGGCCTATCAAAATCATCAGGCAACCTACCAAAAAAAAAAATCAAGGAAAAGCAAAAAGTTCATCATTATATTAGTAAAATAAACCAACCAGCACCTGATTAACACATCTCCCTATTACTATCTTAAAAAAAATTCAGCAGTAATGCATCCATCTGGATCACTAAAAGCAAACAGTGAAAATTCAGGCTTACCCGCCAACATCCTAATCCTTTTATACACTCACTAATACAAATATAATAATCCATGAAGAACACGTGCACATGGCAATGCTAAAACACAACAATTGAAAAAGCACATGTATGACAGAGGTTTTATTTACATGGGGGGCTCAGTGGCTTGAGCTCTTTCCCAGCCATTCTCATCTGGCCAAACAAAGAGAAGCCCTTGAGAAACCATAGTAGGGAATCTGGTTGCACAAGCCCTCGGGGACCTAATGGCACGGGCCTCGGGCCCTTCTGATGCTGCCTGAGGGATCCGAGCACACGACCCATATCCATCAAAAGACCACCCATGGTATGAACACTGCAACTGCCCATTCTCATCAATCCTTCCTTCCTGCAGCACAATTGTAAAAGCATAAAACTCCATCAAAATTTCATAGAATTGTATGTATGGCCTAACTACAAAAAAATTGCCCAACCAACACTTATAATCTAATATAATCATTTAAGCTTCATTACTGTTGCAAACAACAAACACAAACTAGAAGTGATACATATAGACCTTATGCTTTGTACTGTCATATGAAATATCCATCCCAAGGGGAAAACAAATATTAATTCGAAAAAATAATATCCTTCCTTATTATTATTATTTTTTTTGGGTAGCCAATTACGGTATCCGGAGCTTTGCCCCGACTATCCGTTGGTCTACCCGGGTCGCACACCTGGCAATGGTTTTCTGCATTCACAAGGACTCGAACCCGATACCTTGCTTAAGCGACATCAAGCTGCTTACCACTTGAGCCAACCCTTGTTGGTAATATCCTTCCTTATTTAAACACACACACACACACACACACACACACACAAAAGCTGGAACTCACCAAGTTCTGTATAATAAACTAAATGAAGACTATAAACAGAGAAACAAAGCTACATAACTGAGAGCTTTTGCCATAAGAAAGATAATCAGTGCCCTTAATAGTTGCCCTCCCAGAAACAGAAAAAAAAAATAAAATAAAAAATAAAATGAAGAAAAGGTGACAAGAAGAGGAAAATTACTGATAAGGGGGCGAGCCTGTGTGGGCATTTATCATCAAAAGCAACCCATTTGGAAGCAGAAGTATCGAACCAGAGAACAAGATCTCTATTCAGCAGCTGAAATGAAGTGGGGTAACGAGGGTCAAGATCCTCCACAAGCGAAACTGGGTACCAATGATCTCTCCAAGAAAACTTCGAACTCGAAATTTCTTCAGAGTCTTCGGTTTCAATTGCAGCGCCCACGTCCTCCACTTCTCGATCATCTCCAGAAATGGTCGCCGTAGAATTTGACGGCGGCGCAGCTACACATGGCGGATGATTGATAAGTTTTCTTTCTTTTTGTGCAGGGAATCTGTAAATCAGGCGATTGAAAATGGGGAATTGAGGTGGGCTGCAGCTAATAGAGACGGAAACAGGTGTAGATGGAGAAAGCGAAAAAACCATAATGGTCGATTTAATAACAGAATCAGTAATCCCACCGCTACAATTTTTATTCGCATTTAGAAGTGCAAGTCACAAAAGCTTTTCGTGTTATATTATTTATATTTTGATATCTGGATCGACTGAGTTTAGTTGGGGATGGAAAAATCAATGAAGTGCCCTTTTGTTTTGGGAAGAAGCTTTGCCTGCAAGGTTAGTCATTAAGGAAGCATTCCGTCGGGTTTATAACCATTATCATATAATTGTCGGGAATAATTGATTTAATAGTTATAAACTCCGACGAAATGATTTCGTAATGCGATTGTATCATCTCTATATTAATAACTGAAAACTCAAATGAGTACAAACAAAGTGTCAAATGTCAACTGATATTACTGAGACCAGAACAAAGTCTAGACCATCTTTTTTAGAATCACACAGGTGACTAAGGGGTGTACAAACTCCACGCACGAGACACAAATACCCGCAAAAAAAAACTCAAAAAAGGAGATAAAAACTCCTTGTGGGTGACTAATAGCGTGTTTGTATACAAATAAATCTGTCCAAAATAAGTTTTTCTAGTTAATCAGAGCTAATTTGAAAGAAAAAAAATAGTATGGTTGATTTTTAATGAGATTTTGATTATATATTAAAATAATATTTAGAATAAAATAACTAATGTCGATTTGATGTAAAAGTATGATATAAATTGTGTGAAGTGATGGTTAGTTAAATACATATTTGACCAAAAAATAAGGGTAGATTGGTAATTAACATCTCACACACTCAAACACATCTCACAAGTGGGTCCCACCACCATTACCCCCACTTTCCAGATCGCCGCCTCCACATAGTTCCCCCCCCTCCGCCCAGTGCCCCCCGCCTCCGCCCAGCGTCGCCCGCCTCTACCCAGCGTCGCCCGACGGCGGCGGATGTCTTCCACTTCCACCAACAGCCTCTTTCGCACCTGTCGTCGCCGCCACATCCACTTTATCACGATCCGACGACCCCAACACCGACCACCGCTGCAACCTGTCACCGCCGCCACATCCACTTTGTCGTCGACAGCCGGGCGCAAGACTCCATCACCGACTTCCAGACCCCCCGTTAAACAAATCGCCAGAAGCCGCCGTGTCTCCAGCAGTGTGAA